CTCATATCAAAGTGGCCTTCGCAACTTGGTGATCCGCAAGTGGCGCATAAGCCAGCCTTCGGTTTTGAACATACTGAACAACTTCCTGCAGGGCCCTCTTCGCACGGGCTGAGGTTGCTGGGCAGCCCTCGCCCGCGGCAGTGGCGGCGCCCCGCCTGCTGGGGGCGCCGAGCTAGGCCGGGCCTGCGACGACGTAGCACCAGACGGCTGCGCCGCCGGTGAGGGTCGTCTGCTCGCCCCTGCCGGCTTGGCCGGCAGGCGCGCTCCGTCGCCTGATTGTATTTGGCGAAGCGATGCCCTAGCGCGTTCATGCTTCTTGAGCTCATCTTGATATTGCTTGTTCTGGTCAGCCATTTTCGCAGCGGCGTGTTCAGCAGCCTGAACGCGTAGCTCGCCCTGCCGTTTGGCCTCATGAGCACGCGCCTGAGCTTGGCCCCAGGCTTCTGAAATGCGCTTCGAGTGGCTCTCGATTTGCCCCCTTGTCTGCAAATCTTTCGCTCGGAGAGCCTCTGCCGCTTTGGCCTCTGCGTTGGCCGCTTCCAGCCTGGCGGTGCAGAGTTGGTCTTGGAGCTCCTTTCTTCCCTGCTCTGCTGTGGCTTTCGCGCCCCCCCCCCCCACCCCCCACCCCCCTTCTAGCCTCGCCGCCGCGACAGCGGCGTAGGCGGGCTCGGCGTCTACAGCTTGGCTGCGCTCCGCCAGGGCAGCACGTCGCTCAGAAGAAAATATCCCAAGAGATTTGTCCTCGGCTTCTTCTGCGCGCTGCTGGGCAGCCACGGCCTGAGAGGACATTTGGGCCAGCAGCTCTTGTTCTCGCCGACTGGCAGCTTGGGCCATGGCGATCCTATCGGCCTCGAACTTCTTCTGGGCGTCGGCAATAACTGCATTCATATTTTCTCGATCCAGCCGGGCCTGTTCGGCCCTTTGGGCCTCTAGGGCCATGGTCTCTTGCTGTCTCTGGGCCTCTTGGGTCCTGGCTTGGTCCTGCATGGCCTGGATCAAAAGGTACTGGCAGCTATGTTCTTCCATCTGGATGCAGTCCTCACACAACCGCTGATTGCCACGCTCGGGGCACGCGCTGGAACAGTCCCCACGCGCTGGGCGCCTGCAAAGCCCCCCCGTTTTGCGGGCTTTCCCCGGGCACCTGTCTTCCGCCTGGGGCGGGAAGCCAGGGCCCTGATTCCAGCGCGCCTCGCGCGTGGAAATGGCACTGGTGCTCCTCGAAGTCGATCGGGCGCCAGAACGTGGGATCATGGGCCGTCCCCGGCTCGAAGCCGATGATCGAGGGCGCACGTGTACGCTCTCCGGTGGCTTGGCCACCTCGCGGAGCGCCTCATCCCGTTCATCCTGCGCAATCAATTCCGGGAGTGTGACTGGGGGATCAGACGGGTCGTCATCCTCAGCTACCGCGGGGACCGACGGCTGCCAATCGCCTGGGGCGACGGCAGACCGATAGAATCCCTCCTGAAGCGGGGAAGCATTCAAATCGTAATCTTCGTTCCTGTGCTTCTTGGGCTGAGGAGCCGGCGTTCGGCCCGTGGACTCCCGGCCATGCTTGGCATGATGTTGGGAACTCGATGCAACCTCTGCCGCCTGGGGCGGAGTCTCAGCGATTGGGAGAACGGGGGTCGGTATTGGTGTCCCCCATGGCTCGGGCACTGCTGGGACCTCGCGGACTAGGTCGCTGGTCGTGGAGTCTAGATCTGGTTCCGCAAACGCCTCCCCAAGAGCTTCCAAATGATCGTAATCAACGGTTTCCTGTCCTGGGGATGACCCTCCGCCTTGGGCGGGGCAGTCGGCAGCGTTCAACAACGGTAAAACTCGGCTTGGGGACATCTCATACGCGGCATACTCTCTGTTATCCTCCATAGAGCTGACCTCGTCTTCATCGTCAAGCTGTTCGTCGCTGTCTTGACCGGGCTGCCCGTTCAAGGCGATCGGAACGGGGTGAGTCTCGGGCGGTCGATCCCAACCGTCTGGGACGGCGGGGACCATACCGCTCGGCTCGTCCACAAACTTGCGGCCGGCTGGCTGGGCCAGCGGCCGTCGAGATAGGGTGCGCGGCTATAGGGCTGGAATGCACCGTTTCTGGGGACTCAGCAATCCAAGATGAGAAGGCTCCTCGCCTGGCGTTCACGGCTGGGCCGTTCCGCCTCATCGGGGTCGGGGTCGGGTCTGACCACGCTCGCTGATCGGAGCACGAGTGGGAGAATCGTCGGCAGACAAATCTATGACTCCTCTGATAACTCCTCCCCGAGGAACCCGAGTGAGGTTAGAAGAGGGAAGAGAGCGGCCCTCCCCGGGGCCGCAGTCCTGATGATCTTGCCCGCCATGAAGTTCATGATGTAGACTCGCGGGCAATTCGGCTGTCTCAACATAGCTCAATCCCCTAGCGACTTGGTCGCGGGTTTCGGCTGATAACCAGTCCTTCCTCTGAGAATCAGGGTAAGATGCCAAAGGAACTATGGTCTTTTGATCTCCAACACTGATATCGTGGGCTACATGCTCAGCGAGAGAGGGTTTGGGACGAGGCATGGTTAAAACAATGGATAATATGTATAGCAAACGGTAAGAAGCACGGGAATGGAGGAGGCCGGCTGGCCGACGCCCGTGCGCGGGCGCGCGGCAGCGCGCTCCTTGTCAGGCTTGATACCAAACAGCTGCTAGTGTATCAGTGTCAAGCAAGGCACGCGGCAGAAGAGGCAACTAGAAGATGAGGCGGAGAGGAGCATATTTACTCTTGGGGCGCGGCCTGCTCCCCACCCGAGTGGCCTCTGCAGCGGGAGCTACTCTCTAAGCGAGCAGTACGTGAGCAGCCTTCTTCCGTATTGCCCTCGACCTTGCGGTGACTTTGTGCAGCTTGCTGGTCGACGGCAACGAAAACCACAATGTAGGTATCTCTTGTCGTGCTCTCTTTCTTCCTCCTCCTCCGCCTCCTCCTCCTCCTCTTCCTCCTCCTCCTCCTCCTCGTCCTCCTCCTCCAAATCAACTCATATTCCCTCCATGTCGTGGTCTCTTCGTCTTGGTCGTCCGCCTCATACTTGTCCTCCTCCAGCGTCTCATCTCCACTATCGACTCTCCGTCACACATCTTTGCAATGATCTTATCGAACCAATCCGAGGGCATACGCCGACAAACACGCGCCTGTCACCTTGTGATCCATCAAGCAAGCCACCCCCCCCGGGGCTGATGAATAGACCCAGCGGAGCGCGAAACAATTCTTCGAATCGCGCCCGCCAAGGGGTCGTCGCGGGCGCCGTCGAGGAGATCGCGTACCCCCCTGCACGGCAGCCTCAAAACGACTGCCCTTCGTATATCAGGATCGTATACATCCGAGGCGAAGTTTCCACCCATATCAGGCTGACTACTGACGTGCCACAGTCGTCGTCGTCGCCGTCGTCGTCGTCGTCGTGGTGGTGGTCGTCGTCGTTATCGTCGTAGTCGTCGTCGTAGTCGTAGTCGTCGTCGTCGTCGTCACCGTCGACTACAGCAGGCCGGGCCTACGCAGCCCCACCCTCATGGGGCATCCGCAGTGCGCCGCCGTCGTCGTCGTCGCGTTGTTGACGTCGTTGGTCGTCGTCGTCCTCGTCCTCGTCCTCGTCCTCGTCGTCGACAGCGGGCACCACCCCGCCCTCCCACCATAGGGCATCCGCAGTGCGTCGTCGTCGCCGTCGTCCGTCGTCCGTCGTCGTCGTCGTCGTCGTCGTCGTCGTCGTCGTCGTCGTCGTCGTCGTCGTCGTCGTGGTCGTCGTCGTCGTCGTCCTCGTCCTCGTCGTCGTTCTCGTCCTCGTCGTCGTCGTGGTCGTCGTCGTCGTCGGCTACAAACTACAACGACAAAGGGCCGACGCAACACCGCACCCCCCCATAGGGCATCTGCAATGCGTCGTCGTCGACGAGTACAACGGGCATGCGCAGCACCCCCGCACCCCACCCGTGGAGCATCCGCAGTGCGTCGCCGTCGTCGTCGTTGTCGCCGATTGCGGTTATGGCATCCGCGGTGCGTCGTCGTCGTCGTCGTCGACGATTACAGCGAGCATACGCAGCACCCCCGCCCCCCACCCCACCCATGGAGCATCCGCAGTGCAACGTCGTCCGCCGTCGCCGTCGCCGTCGCCATCGCAGTCGCCGTCACCGCCGCCGTCGCCGTCGCCGTCGTCGTCGTCGTAGAAAGTTGTAAAGGAAGGGGGGGGGAGAAGGAGAAGGAGGAGCCCTTTCCGCCTGCCTCTTCTGCTCCTCCCCCTCTCTTCCGCACTGCCTGCCAGCCGAGGCGCCTCTTTCCCCACCTCCTCTTTCTTTCCTGTCTGTAACCATTTTGGCCCAACTGCCCCGCAATACCGGCAGCGCTGCTGTCCCCCTTCGCTGAAGCGGCGCCGCTTGCGTCGCGCCTGCCGCCCTCCTGCAGTTGCCGGCGCCGCCGCCGTGTGTTTCAAATTGGCGGGCGCCCCCCCGCGATTCGCCCGAGCAGATGAAGCATTTGATGTAATCACGCGCGCTCCATCTAACCACAACCTGACATTATACATTCTCATAGATCCTGATCCACCTTCGACAAGGTTCTTAGGATCGGTGCAGGTGCTCTGATATCGTCCCAAAGTGTGACATACACCGATCCTGGCCCAGGAGGGGCTACAATCGGTCGTGGTGCGTCAAAAGAGGCTCTCGTTGTGTTGTCAGCATTCCTCCTCATCTTCCTGTCCCAACTCCTCCCCGTCCACCTCACTCTCCTCACCGTCCTCCTTCTCCTCCTTCTCCTCCTCCTCCTCTCCCCCAGCCTCGTCCCCCCCCTCTTCCTCCTTTTCCTCCTCTTTTCCTCGGTTTCCTCCTCCTCGTTCATCTCGTCCTCGTCGTCGTCCTCCTCAATCCTCTTCCTCAATGTTACTCCTCCTCAATCCTCCTTCTCCTTCTCCTGCTCCTCCTCCTCCTCCTCCTCCTCCTCCTCCTCCTCCGTCGCGCCTCCTCCCCCTTAGACCCTTTTCGCTCACCTCCGCCGCCGCCCTGCGCGGGCCTACATCGACGAACACGCGCCGGTTGCCGGTCTTGCTCCGCACGGTGCCGACCACGACTTGCCCCTCGACGAGGCCACCGAACGGGTCCTCCCCGGCAGGAGCGAGGAGGAGGTAGAGGAGGAGGAGGAGGTGGAGGAGGAGTTGGAGGAGGAGGAGGAGGAGGAGGTGGAGGAGGAGGAGGTGGAGGTGGAGGAGGAGGAGGAGCGAGAAGCGAGGAAGAGGACGAACCCCGTTGGTGGGTCCAATTGGTGGGTCCAGATTTTTGGAGCACCACCCTGAAGGGCACGGTGGCCCGATGTAGGGCATGGCCTGGGGCCATCTTGGTCCATACCGCATGGGTTTGGGCAGCGAATCGTGATGGCCCGGGCACCGTGGCCAAGGCACTGCGGCTCCCCAAGGCCGCGTGAGCTCGTTGGCACCATCCTTGCTACCACAGCCCTTCGGCAGTGCGGGGGCGCACCCAACCACTGAGGGTCCGAAGATGCAGGGTGGAGGAGGATCTTGTGTGTGGGGGGAGCTTGCGGACAGGTTGGCGTGGTGCGGCTGGACCGTGATGCAGAGATCACCTTAGTGGTGGGAGCGGGGTTGGGAGTGGAAGTGGGGATGTGCACGATGTGTGGCGGCCTTTATGTCCACCTACCTGGTCGCACTCCCGCGTGCGAGATACGTGGGCGTGTGGCGACATCCAGGTTTGACAAGGCGCTCGGTGGGGGAGGAGGGGAAGGGATGCGGTAATTAGGATGACGCCGAGGGGGATGGGGGCCTGGGCCCGGTGGCCAGGGCACTGCGTGGTCGGCAATGCCTGGGCCGTGCACGCCGCCGACGCCAGGACCCCTGTGCCCCCCGACGACTCCAGAAGCCCATCGCCACTCGCCTCCGCAAGGCCCAGCACTGCCTTGAGCCCCTGGTCCTGGCCCAGCGCCTGGCTACCTCGCGCTTCGTTTCAAGCTTGATGCGGTGCTCCTGGATGCATGCGATGTCCAGCAACCTCGCACCAACGTCCTTAGACCTCCGTTCGAGGAGCTCCTCGCACGACCTCCACGAAGTGGTGCCGCACGTCCACGTCAGAAACTCCTCGGATGGGCTAGGAGTCCTGCGGCCCAGTCGCTGCGACGGGGCCCTGGCGCCTCTCGAAAGCGTGCTGAGCTGCGCCCGCATGCCCGCCAGCGCTCGGCGGTCGACGCGTGCCCCGCCCTCGGCACCGCCTCCAGCCAGCCCCACGGCTGCCCACAGGGCACCGCCGTCGTCCTCTGGATCGGGAGGGGCGTCTGCACCTGGCTCGCCCACTTGAGCATCCTGGCAGCAGCGGCATCGCCAGCATCGCCAGGCCCGCGCTCAGCGCCGCCCTCAGCCCCGTCAGCTGCCGCGGCCGGCGCGGCCCCCAGGGCCCCTTCGGCAGCGATCTTATTGACCACGTCCATGAGGTCCCGATACGCCCACGCGAGCTCCTCCTGGAGTGCCGGGGACGAGAGGATGATCTTGGCTGCACCTTCAGCCGCTCCTTGGCCCTGAACCTTCGCGCGCTCCTCCCGAAGCTGCGCCTCGTCTTTGGCCTCCTCCAACCCCTTCCGCTTGGCCTGGTGTCCATCCAGGATGGCGTTTTCTTTGTCCAGGAGCTTCTGCACCTCGTCAGCCTCCGCTTGGATCTTCTCGATCTGGCGCTTGGCCTTGTCGGTATTGGTCGTATTCTCGTCGAGCCGCATGAGGATCTGGCGAAGCCCAAGATGGCCTGCGCCTTCGCGCTTGCTCTTGGCCTCCTCCTCCTCCTCCTCCTCCTCCTCCTCCTCCTCCTCCTCCTCCTCCGCATGCTTGTCGACGATCGCCACGCAGCGCATGAGCTCTGCGCAGTCCTTGGGCCAAGCACCACGGTCGGCGCCGTGCTGCTGCATATGCATGTCCACGAGCAGCTTCGCCATGGCCAGCGGCACCTCAGCGCCCGGCTACCCCGCTGCAGCCCTGGACGCAGCCGCCGCCTCCGGCTTGGGGGCCTCAGCCTTAGCCTTCTTCGCATCGCCTCGTAGGCGCGCTGGCGGACCGCCAGGGGCGCTGGCCGCCCGCATTTGCGGCAGGACAGGCGCGAGGCCCAGTTGCGAGCCTCCCCGCAACTGCAGCCCCACTGTGGCGACTTGGGCCCCGGAAGCACCACTGCCGCGCAGCTGCCCGCGCCGCCGCCTGGGGGCCACCAGGGCCGTGGAGGCCCCTGAGCCCAGGCGGAGCCGCCGCCTCTCGCGCCGCCGCCGCCGCCGCTGACATGGCCCCCTGCGCCGGCTCGGCTCTTGCCCCCACGCGGCGGGGCATGGGCCGAGGGCGGAGGTATGCCCGAGGTAGAACCGCTGTTAACTGCTATCTCCTGCTGACGCGCCGCTCTGAAAAACGTCAGCAGTCGCTCTGGAGGCGCCAGCCTCAAGAGCCAAAACGGCGAGGAGGAGGAGGCAGGAGGAGGAGGAGGAGGAGGAGGAGGAGGAGGAGGAGGGAGGAGGAGGAGGACGAGGAGGGAGGGCGCGCGGCAGGGGCAGGGTGGACCACGCCGGCGGCCGCCAGCACAGGGCGCGGCCGCGGCCGCCCCCGCCACCGCGGCCGAGCGATGGGCAGGTCTGACCCCAGGCGCGACGGAGGAGGAGGGGCAGGAGGAGGAGAGGGAGGAGGAGGAGGAGGAGGAGGAGGAGGAGGAGGAGGACAACAACGAAGACGAGGAGGAGGACGGGAAGAGGAGGGGGGCGAGAGGAGAGATGCGCGAGGAAGGAGGAGGAGGAGGAGGAGGAGGAGGAGGAGGAGGAGGAGGAGGAGAAGCTCCCCGAGGGGGAGAGGGGACGGGGGGGGGAGGGAGGGAGGAGGGACGGAGCGGAGGGAGGTGGGAGGAGGCAGACGCAGGAAGCTGTGCGCCCCAGGGGCACGGAGGAGGAAGCGCGGAGGGCAGGTCCGCCAGCTGCCGCTGGGGCTGCGGCGGCGCGGCCATCCGCCCGGCCACGAGGTCGGCCAGGGCGGCGAAAGCGACGCGGACCTGCGCCAGCTCGCCGTCCACGCTCTCGACCGTCAGGCCCCGGAGCTCCTCGGGAGGGCGGGGGGGCGAGCAGGGAGCGCGGGGGAGGACGAGGGCGAGGCGAGAATGAGCAGAGAGAAGGAGCGTGGAGAACGAGCGGACAGAATGGCGAGGAGGTACGAGGAGCGAGGCGAATGGAAAGGGAGGAGGAGGAGGAGGAGGAGGAGGAGGAGGAGGAGGAGGAGGAGGGGGAGGGGGGAGGAGGAGGGAGGAGGAGGAGGAGGAGGAGGAGGAGGAGGAGAGGGAGGAGGAGGAGGAGGAGGAGGATTGGATGGAGGACGGGGGGTAGGAGGAGGGAGGAGGAGGGAGGGAGGGAGGATGAGGATGAAGCAACCGTTTTTGTTGATGATGCATCTCTATCTGTCGCGGACGCGCCGAAGGAGGCGGGGGGACAGGGAGGATTGAGCAGGGACCGACCGTCCCAGCAATCCCATGGTCCTACCACGAAATGTTCTTAGAACCCGCAAATGTTCTAAGATCAAAACAAATTTCTTAAAACAGAAACCCGATGTGATAAAACAAGACAGACTCCGCCAGAAATGTTCTCAGAACATTTCGTGGAAACCACAAGAGGTTCTTAGAACATGGTTTGGTAGGGCTATAGGCGAGCCAGGACGTTTCGCCACTGCTTGAGAGGAGGGGGAAGCGTCGGGAGGAGGGGGTGAGGGGGATCCTGGTGACGGATCGTAGTGCTGCCCGGCCAGGCGGCGCAGAGCCACGGGCCGCCCCGCCAAGAGCCGCGGCCTCTCGACGGCACGGGGTCTGCGCATGGCCCACAGCTTCTCCGGCCGCCCCCGCAGGGTGAGACGTTCGCTAGAGCAGCAGGTTCTCTCACCCCTCGCAGCCTCTCCTCTGCTCGTGCTTCCTCCCCCTTCCCTCCTCCCTGCTCAAGGGCACCTGCGGTGCCCAGAGTTCTTTCAAGGGTGGGCGGGCGGGGCCATAGCTCGCCTGCCTGGCCTGCGGCCTGGGCCAGGCAGTCCGAGGAGTGCTGGGTAGTGGTCGGGCCAGGACTCCCCTCCAGTGCGGGCGGCGACCGGAGGGGTCGCGCGGCCCGCGGTGGCCGGTGGAGACCGAGCTACAGGGCGCCAGGGCGAGGAGCCGCCTGAGCGGCGAGGCGCCAGCCGCTGGGCGCGGCTGCACGGCTTCGCGGCGAGGATGCGGCACGTCTCCCTCGAGTGCATCGTCTCCACCGCAGTGGTGGCCACGCTTAGATGGCTAGACGCCTCCCTGGGCGCGGGGTTGTCGGCCGCCTTCTCTGCTGCAGCCAGCTACGTGCCAAGGCCCAGCGAGGGCCATGCGCGTGAGGAGCCAGGCGCCGATAGTGACGACGGAGCTGAGGAGGCGCACGATCGCACCAGCTTCGAAGCGCAGTTCTGCTACGGCGCAGCTGCACGGAGGAGGCCGCGGGAGGCCAGCCAGCCGACACCGAGCTGCCTGCAGAGACGGAGCAGCAGGAGGAGGCAGCGGCACCGCGGCCCGAAGCGCCCCCGACCACGAGCCCGCCACCGCGGCCATGGCCGGCTCGGGCGGGCGCGCTGCCCCCACGAGAAGAATTACTACCTCGCATTCTACTGCGACGGGGTGGAGCAGAGCCCGCCCCCGGGGCGCCAGGGTCGCGGCCAGCGGAAAGGAGGGCGCCTGAGGAACCGGAGCAGCCTCCGGCAGGCGAGCAGCAGCCTCCCGCGCCAGCGCTGCGCCCCGCCGTCGCGCCGCCACCGACCGCCAGAGGAGCCGCCAGCAGGAGGAGAGGAAGGCGCGCCTGCCGAGGAAGCGCCTTCGCCCTCAGGCAGCCCACCAGACGCTGATCCCGCCGAGGGCGGCGTTGAGCCAAGCGGGCTCGCCCTGGCCAACGCCTGGTTCGAGGCCGCGCTCAAATGGTTGGGAGAGAGGGTTGGCCACGCGATGGGGGCTATGCTCCACCAAGTGATCGCCTTCCTCATGGGCATGGTGAATGTCATGGGCGATACTGTGCGCGTCTCCACTGGCTCGCCATGAGTGTGGCAGTCGCAGGGGTGATCACCATCCTCTGCTCTGCGATCAGCCTCATTGCATGGGTCCTGCGCACGGCCTGGACGTACTGCACGTTGGTCTTCACGACTCTGCACGGCTTCGTCAAGGGCAGCAAGACGGGTCATAACGCGCAGGTCGCCCAGGACGGCAAGCCTGGTGCTGCTCTGACCTGGCACGGTCCGGATGAGACCGAAGCCGTCGACGCCGACTACGTCAAGGAGGAGGTGAGGGCGCGAGGGGGCAGTTCGGAGAACATGATGCTCAAGGACCTCATCATCAAGTCGGGCGGGGCGGTTGCGCGGCTGGAGCAGGGGCTCATCAAAGGCAGCCGCATCACCCGCCGCGGGTACGTCCACGAGGTCAAGGGCAGCTCGCATCGGCACCTCAAGGCCGACTTGGAGGCCACACGAGGCGACGACGGGGTCGGCCTGGTGCACTTGTGCTCGGCGACGCCGTGCACCTTCCTCCAGGCGACAGGCCCATGGCCCACGTAGGATCGTCGTGCGCTGTCGGCCACAACTCCACTATCAACGTGTCCGACCTGGCCAAGCTCACGCCTGCGGGACGAGCCAGGACGGGGAGCAGATCATGCTGCTCTTGGACGTGCCGGGGACTGGCGGGGCTTGCTAGAAGGGCGCGCGAATGCTGTTCAGCCTGGAGGTGGAGGCCAGGCGCCCACGCCCGGGCGGCGGCTCGACCAGGGCGGTAGTGATGGACCCCAACTCGGAGACCGAGTCGGAGCCGAGCGAGGACGTGCGCGAGGCGGACAGGATCGCCTTCCGGACTACTGGAGGCGCGCAGGCGCTGCGTGCCAAGGGCTGTCGGGCCCCGGCGAGGAAGGAGCCCGTGCTGAGGCTGGTCGAGGACGCCGCCATCTCCGACGCGCGTGAATGGCGCGCGCTCGTTCAGGGCCTGCACGTGCCACGCCCAGTCCTACGATGCCCAGGCAGCTCAGGGGAAGCGCGCCCGTTTCAACTGCTTCCGCGAGAAGACCACCGAGAAGGGCGGCTTCCCCCCTCTGCGCGGCGCACGCTGCGGATCGGGCGGTGGGCTGGCGCAGCCGGTCAACCGCGCCGCAGCCGGAGGAGGACGGCAAGCGGCGGGCGAGGAGGCAGAGCACGGAACCTGAGCGACAGCCATCGGCTACGCGCAGGAGCAGTCCAGCAGCCAAGGTCGCCGCGGACACGGCGTGGCTGGTGCACGCGCGCGACCCCTTGGCTGATTCGCGGCCGCGGGTTGGCGAGCTTACTACAGCTTTCTGGCCGAGTTCGTGGGCCCTCCCCAAGGCGCAGACGACGACCACCCCAGGACAGACGTGGAGGCGGTCGGGCTGAATGCCATCTTCTCCATCCCAGATGGCGCTCTACCAGAGCCGAGGTCGGAGCTGCTCGACGAGTTCATCAGCGCGCAGCCCCCGGCCATTTGCTGGAAGGCAGGGGTGACTTCTCGCTTGTCTGACTACGGCGACGGTGCGAATTACGACGGCGACAAGTCTCGGCCACGCCTCCTTGGACGCGATCATACACGACAGGAGCTGGCACCACCTGGCGAGGTGAGCGAGGTCCAGGAGCAGGAGCGCCACGCCGAGCAGGAGGGGCGCGAAGGACGACCTCGACAAGAGGCTGAGGCGGGCTGAGGAGAGGGACGGGGCGCAGCGCCGCGCAGACCCGAGGGCCGCGCTCATCGAGGGGCACCTGCTCAGGAGGGCTGAGGGCCAGTCGGATGAGAAGCGCGAGGCGCGCTATGGCGGCCGACACAGGTGCGGGCCCCATTTGAGTTCTTGGCGGAGCTCATCGGGGCCGCGGATGCGCCGCTCGAGGGAGTGGTCAGCGACGTCGGGTTGAGCCTTCTCCCAGGATGCCAGGCCGCTCGGCGCAAAGAGCTCGAGCGAGGAGGAGGACCGCACTCGGGAGGTGCCCGGGAGCATTGGGAGGCAGCCCCGGCTCCCCCTCCGCCAGCAGCGACACCCCCGCCAGCGGTGGCGCCGCGGCTCCCAGCGTCGCCCCCAGGGCTGGGCTTCGTCGGGTTTGGCCAGGGGCCCGCCGCTGGGCCGTCGCCGCCCCGCCTGGACCCCGTCTCGTTCTGGGGCACGGCTGGCACAAGAGCGTCGGCGCCGCGGGAGCACGAGGGCACGAGGTCGTTCGTTGAAGCAGCGACGAGACCTCGGGGTGCCCATGGAGGCGAGGACGCTCGCGGGGCCGCAGCCCACCACCGAGACCGGCCTGGGCCTGGAGAAGCTGGTGTGCGAGCTGGGACGGGCCAAGAGGCACTCGGAGGAGCCAAAAGGCGCGGCCGAGGGCGCGCTGGCGGGCATCGGGCGGGCCGAGCAGCAGCTCGTCTACCTGGCGCGCGGCTGCGGCAGTTTCCACGTGGCGCTCTGCCCATGTCTGGTGGGCAAAGACGCGCTCCATGGGCCGAGATCGGCTGACCAGAACGCGCGCCCGCTGTTCCGATCCATCAAGTTCCCGGTGAACATCGCCGACGCCACAGCGCACGGGTTCGCGGCCTTCCAGCACGGGGGCCGCGATCATATGCACCTCCCCGACTACTGCCTCAGCTGCGCCAGCGTCCCTAAGACGTCGGAGGTGGACACGGACAACTTCGAGCCGCCCAAGGACTGCAAGCTGGAGACCAGGCCGAGGCACGCCACGACTGTGCAGCAGCGGATCCAAGACTCCAAGAGGGAGTGGTGGGCCTGGGCCTGGCTTCTACGGCCAGGAGCATTAAAAGTCACAGGTGGACGCCGCCGAAGCCCTCATGAAGCTCAATGACGAGGCCGACCACGCGTGGCCGCTCCAGGTGATCTTCAGCGTCTGGTGCGAGCTCCCTGGCAGGTGGTGCGAGGAGCTCAGGATGCTCCGCTCGCGTCTGCTGGCTGACGACAACCCGAGCTGGGGCAATGTCAAGTTCGCGTGCCAAGCGCCGAGGAGCCCAGAGGATCCCTCGGCGTGGCTCAGGATGCCGCGCGCCTTCTTCCTGGACGACCCCCCCAGTTCTTCATGACGGACATCAAGGTCAGGCACCACAACAAGCTGCAGAGGTCGCAGTGGCAGATGGCGCTGCGCTCGTCCGCCGCACAGCCGCACCCGCAGCTGGCAGGCTCGGGGCGCCCGAAGGCAGGAGCAGGGGGCGGCGGAGGCGGCCGGGGAGGCGGAGGCGGAGCACAGGAGGGAGGTGGCCAAGGCAGCGCAGGACTCTGGGGCAAGGCCCTCTCGCGCAAGGAGTACGGCCGTAGCCTTGACCACCGCCGCAGGTCGCCCACCAGCGGCCGCATCATCTTCTGGGGCAACTCGAGCTGGAAGGGCTGCCATAACCCCGCCTGCCCAGACGCGCACAAACCCATTGGCAAGGTTGGCCTCTTGGACAGGTCGGTGCAGATGCAGCTCATCTGGCGAGGCGGCATCAGGGGCGGCCCGAAGGTCGGCTCGCATGAAGGCGGAGGAAAAGGGAGGAGGATAAATCAGGAAGGGGTGGAGGAGGGGGAGGGGGAGGCATGGGAGGAGGAGCGAGAGGGGAAAGGAGGAGAATCAGGAAGGGGTGGTGGAGGAGGGGGGGGAGGCATGGAAGGATGGGGGTCAGAAGGGCAGCAAGGAAGGGGAGGCCCTCTGCACACCCTGGCCTGCACGCGGCGCGAGGGGGGATTCGGTCTGCCCGGCTCCTCGGAGGGCAGGAGCTTCTCCACCTCTGCACGGGGGGGCAGGACCATGGAGGGGGGGGGAAGGAGGGCCGAACACGCCCACGCACAGAGGGCAGCTAGACACCAGACATCGAGGATCTAGGAGGAGAACCGAGGAGGGGGAGGAGGATCAAGGAGGAGGATCGAGGAGGAGGATCGAGGAGGAGGATCGAGGAGGGGAATCGAGGAGGGGTAGGAAAATCGAGGTGGAGAATCGCGGAGTAGGAGGGGAGGATGGAGAAGAGTGGGAGGAAGGAGTGGGAGGAAGGAGAAGAGTAGGAGGGGAGGAGGAGAGCAGGAGTGGAAGGATGGAGAAGGGAGGAAGGAGAGGAGTGGTAGGAAGGAGAAGAGTGGGACGATAGGGGCAAAGGAGGAACGCCAATACCATGAGGGTGCCGAGGCCTCACGATACCCAACTCGGGGCAGCAGGAGTACGCCAACCGCAGGGCCGCGCTGCGTCAGGCGGAGGAGGAAGCACGCAAGAATATTTGGGCATGTTAGTCAACGCCGTTGTTAAGGGCGTCGACCTGCTTCACGGGAGGCAATTTGGAGGAGGAGGAGGAGGAGCGAGGACGAGGGGAAGGAGGGGGAGGAGGAGGATAATCACGAGGAGAAGGATGCAGGCTGAGGATAAGGTATGAAATGGGATTCGGCGGAGAAGAAGCAGAAGGGAAGAAGGAGATGAGGACGAGAAGGAGGACGAGGAGGGGATGCTTGTCCACATCCTGCCTCCTACTCCACAGCTTGTACCTACGACCATATACCTGTGGCATCCTAGCAACTTCCTACAGTGTGCCGCCTACCTCCTGTATTCAATGTTCAACAGAATCGGATCCACCACCCTCTCCCCCCCCCGGGGGTAATTGATACCCCTTGGGAGACAGCCATTTCCATCTGATTTTGGTTCACCGCTTGTGCTCCAAAGCCCAGCATATCATACCATCCCAGGAGGGCCTGGCATTGACCCCCGTTTCATCCCTGCCATTTCATACCATGCGCGGAAAATCGGTCATGCCAAATGTCATTGTCCGAGAACCCCTTACAACAAATGCCACAACACCCACACATGTGCGCGGCCGCGCGCGCGTCACAATCGTGTAACACATATGATGCTCAACAAATTTAAGGAATGGCTACCCAAATACTAATCAGCACTATTGGTCATTTGCAACAACACGGTTGCCACAATTCTGCGCGCGCACGCACTGGCTGAAGTAATTGGAGAACCATCGGTTTTTAGCCGTCTGCCGAATCAGACCATCAGGGCCGCTTGCACGCGCATGTCGAAAACGTTAAACCACCATCGCGCGCACACCTACTCTGTCCCTTTGGCCTGGCGGTAGACCCAACCATACGCGGTTGTGAATGCCGCCTTCGGTGGAGCTCCCTGTGGTGCCACGAAGCGTCGAAACTTGTTAGGGATTCGCCTATTCAGGGGCGGGTACGCCATGTGGACCCTGCCACTGGGGCCTTGGGTGGAGCTCCCTGCGGGGCCACGGAACGTGTGAGGGGTGCGCCGACATGTTGCGGGTACACCATGCGAGCCCTGCCACTGGGGCCCTGGGCGGAGCTCTTTTTCCGGCCACGAAGCGCTTGAGGGGTGTGCAAACACTCTTGCGAACCGTGCCATTGGGGCACTGGGGCCTTGGGTGCTCCCTACGGGGCCACGAAGCGTGCAAAGGGTGTGCCGAAGTGACGGGGGGACTCATGCGGACTGTGCCACTGGGGCCTTGGGTGGAGCTGCCCATGAGGCCGCGAACCGTGTGAGGGGTGTGCCGACATGAGCGGGGGGATGCATGCAGACTGTGCCACGGGGGCCGTGGGAGCTCCTTACGGGGCCACGAAGCGTGTGAGTGTGCCAGAAAGGGCGGGGGACGCACGCGGACTGTGCCACTGGAGCCTTGGGTGGAGCTCCTTATGGGGCCACGAATCGTGTGAGGGGTATGCCGAAACGAGCAGGGGGGCGCATGCGGAAAGTGCCACTGGGGTCTTGGGTGGAGCTGCCGGACGGGTGGACGTATGCGGACCGCGCTACTGGGGCCTTGCGTGGAGCTCCCTATTTGGCCATGAAGCGTGTGAGATGAGTGCCGAAATTGGCGGGGGGACGCACGGGGACTGTGCCACTGGGACCTCGGGTGGAGCTCCCTCCCTATGGGGCCACGAGGCATGGTGTGTGTGTGCGGACATGAAAACGCGGAGAAGACAGGACAGGTCAGGACAGGCGCCGATGTGCGCCCCGGGGGGGGCGGCCCTCGAAGAGCTCGGCGGGGGGCGCCGGAGTGCCGGAACTCCGATGTCGTAGCACATGATTGCTTTACGATCTCGAGCGTGTACTATTGGCTCCACTGGTACAATCCTTCCCATGAGTTTGGACATGCAGCGTCGTAAAAAGAAGGAGGGAGAAGCGGGAGGAGGAGGAGGCAGGAGTGACGCGGGGCGCCATCTCATCAAAACGAAGGCCCAACAACACATAATGGTTGGAAATGGTAGCACGCGGGAGAGACATACGTTTCCGCGCGCGCACGTCGAGATCATGCCAGGATAGTTCGACTTCTGTGGGCGTGCACTTACTCATCATCCGCATCAGCGCGAACGCCATCGTCGTTGTCGTCGACGTCCCCGCCATTGTCGACGTCGTCATGATATCGCGCTCGCCCGGGACACCGACACGGACTGAAGTGCCCGCATGGCAGCGCGACCTTTGAGACGCGCTGGAAAATTCCTATCAGCAAACGCCATCTCGGCCGCAGCACTTGTGTCAAACCAGCTGGTCGATCTGCGAATGAGCGGGCGCGCGCAAATGGGGCCCATGATATCGTGCGCGCCTGAGTCACCGACCCAGACTAAAAGTGCCTGGGCGCCAGCGCTGCCTTTGAGACACGTTGGGAAGTTACCATCGGTAATCGCCTTCGCGGCCGCATCACTTGTGCCAAACCAGCTGGCTGATCTGTGCGTGAGCGGGCGCGTGACAATGCGGCCCATCAGATCGTGCCCGACCGAGTCACCGAACCTGACTAAAGTGCCCGCGCGAGAGCGCTGCCTTTGAGACGCATTGGGAAGTTCCCATCGGTAATCGCCTTCGCGGCCGCATCATCTGTGCCAGTACAGCTGGCCGACCTGCGCGTGAGTTGACGCGCGCCGTGGGGGACTACAGAGATGCGCCAACAAAATCCAATCGGCAACCGCAATCGCAACCTAACGGGTTTTATCAAACAGGTTGCGGGTGTGAGGGTGGGATATTTGCGTGAGCACTGATTGGGGCTGACAGTTCACAAGTGGCAAAACGAAGCCTACCTCCAAGCTCCTACCTCCATCCACATGTGTACAGCATCCATCCTACCTCCTCATTCCTTCCCCTCCCTCTTCGTCCTTCGCTTCATCCTGCTCTTCCTCCTCCTCCGCCTGTTCCTCCTCCTCCTCCTCCTCCTCCTCCTCCGCCTCCGCCTCCTCCTCCTCCTCTTCCTACGACGACGGCGGCAACGGCGGCGGTCTCCTCTTCTTCCTCGTCCTCCTCCTCATGCTCCCGCTTCCTCGAGGAGGGGGGCGGAGCAGCAGGTGAGCCAACCTCCGCCCTGGGCCCCACGAGCAGGGCGGGCTGCTCGCAACCGATGTCCACCAGAGCCTGGCCCTGGGCGCTGCCGTGGGCCACGGGCGTGCTGACGGCGACCCTGCCGTGAACCACCTCTGCGGGCCTCCTCCTTACCCCTTCGTCCTCCCCCTTAATCCTGGTCCTGTGTGGTCGTCACGGTGCTACCTGCTCAGCGGCACGGGATCACCGTTCTCATCCTCATTATCCTAGCCATCCTCCTGCGCTTCCTGGTTTGTATCCTCTTCCTCTTCCTCGTCCGCCTCATCCTCCTCCTCCTCCCCTCCTCCTCCTTTTCCTGCTCTTCCTCCTCCTCGTCATGATCATCCGGTCCTTTGTCTTGTAAATCGTTGGCTCCTCCCTGTCGCGCAGTCAGATGTGTCGGTAGGGCGGGCGGTACGTTTCGCCTGCGACTTTCCCACCAATAATGATCCTCGCTACAGCTGCACGGATGGAGAGATCGGTTTCACAATGGAGTATCGCCTGAACAACGTGCGCGTTCGTCTTAAACGCGTGGGTGGGGTGGTGATCAGAATGGTGATCTCGCGTTAGCGACGCGCAGTCGTTCTACAAGGTGGAGGGTTGCTCGTGTTTCAAAATGGGCCTTTCGCTGGAGCTCTCCATGGGTCAGTAAATCCGCCGATCCGGCGTGTGAGTTTCAAGGAGTCTCAGCTACAGCCTCGAGGCTGAGCTTCAGCCTCTGGGGGGGTCGCCGGGGTGGCTCTGCCGGGGAAGGGGGGGTGGGGGGGGGGGGGGGGGTGCGAGTTTCCGGCGAACCCCGGGGCCGCTCCGGGGGAGTGGAAGATAGGGGGGGGGGGGGCGCCATGCTCCGCTTTTTCCGGCGCTTTGGAGGAGGGGGGGGGCCCAAGAGACCCCCAAGGGGTTCCAAGAGGGCCCCGAGTCGCCGAAAAATCGCTCCAAGACGCCCGAGATGGCCTCCAGACGGCCCAAGGTGTCTCCAAGACGCCCCAAGAAGCTTCCAAGAGGCCTCCCAAGAGGGCCCCAAGAGGCCAGAATCGTTGATTTTCATTGGTTTTCTCAGGGTTTTTAGCGTTCTTGCCTTTTCGGGCGTCCGACGCTCGAAGACGGCCCAAGAGGCCCCCAAGTCCGTCCCAAGACGGCCCACGATGCTTCCAACACGGCCCAAGAGAGCCCCAAGACGGCCCAAGAGGGCCCCAAGACGGCCCAAGAGGGCCTCTGGACAGCCCAAGAAGGCCCCAAGAGAGCCCCAAGAGGGGCCCAAGAGGGGGACCACGAACCGAAAGAACCGAGCTTTCCGCCCCAAGAGGCCCCCAGGAGGCCCCAAGAGACCCCCAAGGGGCCCCAAGAAGCCCACAAGAGGCCCAAAAGAGGTTCCAAGAGGCCCCAAAACAGCTCCCCAGAGGCCTCCAGACTGCCTCCGGCAGGCCCCCGGTTTCTTCCGCGGCACCGCCCAGGGCGCCACCGGCAGGATGTCCTCCGTCTCATCGTTTTCCTTCAAGTTATCGCCTCTTCCTCATTCTCCTCCTCCTCCTCTGCGACCTCACTCCTATCCCTCAACGATCGCGTCACCGAGTGCCTCTTCTTTGAAACATCCTCGCTCTTCAAACGCACATCCATACACACATGCATACATACCTACATTTAAACACATTTGCATACATAGAAAAACAATCTTCCAGACATACATACTTACATTCACACACATACACACATATTATCATACACACATACAAACATACATACAAACTAAATACATACATACGCGCACAAGCATACATACATACATACGTACCTACACACAGGCACACATGATCAATGCATGCATACATGCATGCACGCGTACATACACACACATATATCGTGAAACTCACCGCGTGCTCGAAACTTGAGAGAGACCGCGGGAAGTCGAGAGAAGCCGCGGAACGAGGCCTCTACTACTACTACCACTACTACCACAACCACTACTACTACTACTACTACTACTACTACTACTACTACTACTACTACTACTGCTACTACTACTACTACTACTACTACTACTAATACTACTACTAGTACTACAGGAGCGTTTCCCAACTAGTATGTGTGTGTGGGTGATGCTGTGTGCGCATGTCTGCGGCGCAGGTTAAGTGGTGTGACTGTGTGTGTGCGTTTGAGTGTGCGCCCATAATTTCTGCGTCTGGAGAATAACCCCGAGCGACCCGGATCGGCGGCACTGGCCGAAGGCCACTACAATCAAGCAATCAACATGGACAGCAACCGCACTGATGGAGGGGTATTCCTTTTCAGAAAGCGGTTCTCTCTTGAGGTGTCCTCGAAATCCACGTCCTTAGTGCACACTTGTGCAACCGTTGCAGGGTGGGTGCGATCCCTTCTCAAAGCGGGGATCAAACTGGACATCTCGTTGGACTCTATGACCATACTGTTTCGCGGTGCCTTTTCAAAAACGGGGTTCCCGCCGAAGTGGCAAGCCCTCAAGGCGCTGGTCTTTCAAGGGGGCGCCTCTTGAAGTGCGAAGGTAAGCTCGCATGGAGGTTCGAGGAGGGAACTTGTTTGAGGAGGGGGAGGAGAGAGAGAGAGAGAGAGAGAGCACAGCAACCTGACCAATGACCCACATGGCAGCTTGAACAACGCGAGAAACGAATTAGGATATGTACTAAACTCGCTCTGCGAGCGCACGCCTTAACGCGTGCATCGACCTCACTGCTCAGAGCCCCCCTGTGGCCAGCAAAATGCTGTGCGGGGACGGGATGCACCAGACCGAACAAAAGGTACAAACTAAGCCTAAGGAGGAAAACTATGGCAACAAATGTACCTCTTTAATACCGGAACCAAACCTGGAAATTCGAAAAGGTGGTGCATAAAAAAGCCTGGACCCAGACCAGGCCGTGAATATCAACGCAACCTACGGTGGACAAGTGAGGCGCATCAAAAGCTGATAAAGAGTTTCGAAATACATTACGGTAAGTGGTAGTATGATGATGAAAGCACGGGGGGGGGGGGAAAGGGGAGGAAAAACTACCACGCCGAACCTCGAGGCGCAAACATGTGCCCCGCACCATCCGGCCAGCTTGAACGAAACAGCCTGAGGTTCAAACGAAAAAGGAAGGAAGCAACAGGCGGGAGGGCACGGGAGGGGAAGCCCACAAGAGGGGGGAACTTGGGACGGGAGGGTGTACTGCAGCATCGCTGATGCATGTTGGGTGTGCTCTGCTCCTCCTCCGTCTCCTTCTCCTCCTCCTCCTCCTCTTCCTCCTCCTCCCCTCCTCCTTATTCTTCTCCTCCTCCGCCATTCCTTTTCATTATAAATAAACCTTCCCTGTCGCACCCCGAGGCCAGTCGGAAGGGCGACCAGGGCGTTTCGCCTGAGACTTCGTTACCATTAAAGTTTCTCAAGCGTTCGCAACAGTTTCACAAATAGAGGACTGGTCGCTTCCCCAACGTGGCTCTCGCCTTAGCGATGCGCACACTCGTCTTCAAATATTGCACGAGTTTCACGGACTGAGGGCGGATCGTTTTCAACATGTGGCTCTCGACTGTATTTCACGGTCTGAAGGTGGTTCCTTTTCAAAGTGTGGCTCTGGCCTCAACGCCGCACACATTCGTCTTCAACATTTGCCAGAGTTTCACGGGTTCCGATGGTCAGCGTGCCAGACATGGTGTTGTGGATGATTCAGGACAGTCGGGGCGCAACAGTTACGTTGATTCGCGGTGTTGGGGTCCCAGACTTGCGTTCTGGCAAGATTCAGGATCGTCAGGTCGCAACAATCAGGTTGATTCGTGGCGTGAGAATCCCGAGAACGGTGTTTGGACAGGCGCGCTTCAAACGATTCTCCCAACGGGGCACTTCCCTCAGTGGAAATGAACCCTTGTAGGGGCCTATGCACAAAGAGCTTGGGAGGAGGCGTCATTTAAAAATCGTTGGTGAAACTTGGGTTTGCACTGGTCCTCCTCCTCCTCCTCCTCCTCCTCCTCCTCCGTCTCCTCCTCCTCCTCCTCCATCCCTTCTCCTTCTGGATAACTCCTCCCTGTCGCACCCCGATGCTAGTTTTTAGGGCGGGCCGGGCGTTTCGCCGGAGACTTCCTCACCATTTATGACTCTGTAGCTTTAAAAATGACAACAGTTTCACACGTTGAGGGCGGGTCGTATTCAAAATGTTGCTTTCGCCTTCGCGCTGAGCACTTTCGATAAAAAATGCAAGGGCTTCGCGGATTGAGGGCGAGTGGTTTTCAAAATGCTGCTCTCGCCTTAGCGCCGCGCGCATTCGTTTTCAACATTCGCAAGAGATTCACGGATTGAGGGCGGTTCCTTTTCAAAATGTAGCTCTCGCCTTAACGCCACGCACATTCGTTTTCAAACTTTGCAAGAGTTTCACGGATTGAAGGCGGGTGGTTTTCAAAATGCGGCTCTCGCCTGAGCGCCGCGCACATTCGTTTTCAACATTCGTGAAGGTTTCACGGATTGAGGGCGGCTCATTTTCAAATGTGGCTACCACATTAGCGCCGCGCACATTCGTTTCAACATTTGCAAGAGCGTCACGGATTGAGGGCGGCTCCTTTTCAAAATGTGGCTCTCGTCCTAGCGCCGTGCACATCCGTTCTAACAATGTGCAAGAGTTTCACGGGTTCTCATGATCAGCGTACCAGAAATTGTGTTTTGGAAGGGTTCAGGATTATGCGGGTGCAACAGTTGAATTAATCCGCGGTGTTGAAGTCCCAAAAACGGCGCTCTGGCACGATTCCGGACCGTCAAGACGCAGCAGTCAGGTTGATACGCGGCGTTGAATTCCCGAGAACAAAATTTTGGCATGCTTCAGGATCTTCAAACGGTTGTCTTCCAACGAGGCAGTTCCCTCAATGGAAATGAACCGCTGTGGGGACCCATGAAGAGGGAGCTTGGAGGGAGGGTGAATTCCAACATCGTTGATGACTCTTGGTTTCGCACTGGTCCTCCTCCTCCTCCTCTTCCTCCTCCTCCTCCTCTTCCTCCTCCTCCTCTTCCTCTTCCTCCGCATCATCATAACCACCGCGACCCCCGCCATCATCATCCTTCTTTTCATCCACATCCACATCCCTCCTGCTCAACCAGCAGCCGTCGCTACTCTACTCTACTTATCTTCCTCCTCCTCCTCAGCATCATCGTCATCAGGATCATCATCCTCACCGTGCTCACCCTTCTCCTGGCTCTGCTCGTGCGCCTCGTCCCTCTCCCCTTCCTTACCACCACCACCACCACCACCACCACCACCACCACCACCACCGTCAACGTGGATGTCACCACAACCATCATCACCGTCACCACCACCACCATCATCATCATCATCATCATCATCATCATCATCATCATCATCATCATCATCATCATCATTATCATCATCATCATCATCACCACCACCATCATCATCATCATCATCATCACCATCACCATCACCATCACCATCAACATCACCATCACCATCATCCACATCCTCATCCTCATCCTCCTCCTCCTCCTCCTCCTCCTCCTCCTCCTCTCTCATCATCATCATCATCATCATCATCATCATCATCATCATCATCATCATCATCATCATCATCATCATCATCATCATCATCATCATCATCATCATCCTGCAAGCCCGTCCTGCTGCCAGCGGAAGCGATTCTGCCACGGGCCGCCTCGCCCACCCTCAGGTCCCTGCACCTTTTCTCGGGCCTGCCGGCGACGAGGTCAGACAAGCCCGGGAAGGAAACGTGCACCTTAATGGGGGAGGCGGGGAAGAGGAGCTGGAGAATGTGTGAAGGCGGGAAGAGGAAGGGGAGGAGGAGGAGGAGGAGGAGGAGGAGGAGGAGGAGGAGGAGGAGGAGGCGGAGGAGGAGGAGGAGGAGGAGGAGGAGAGGGGAGGGGATAAGGGTGGATGCGGCGACGTGGAGGAGGGCGAAAGGCGTGCGAGGTAAATGGGCGCAGGCTCAACCAATAGGGCCCTGTTTCACGCCCCGACCGAAGACCATGCACCAACATACCCTTCACGCTTGATGCGGAACACGCCGAACAAACACATGTTCCGGTACTCCGTGCATCAAGACTCCAAGTGCAGGCGCAGGCTCAACCCGCGGGGGTCTGTTGCACGCCCGAATACTAAGTCACGAACCTCATTTCAAGAAACCCCTGGGTCCACAAATTCCGCGCCCACGGAGAGCACCAAGCAAGAAGACCAATCATCTGAAATACATGAACAGCACGGGGATGGGTTCGGCGAGTGGCATCTCCTCTGGTGGAGGGCTGTCCAGGACCGGCGGCTCACCCTCTGCGCCCTTCTTCATGGCGATGTCAGGGCCCTGGACTGCGAGCGGGAGCGGGGCCTCGCTCGGCAGGTCGAAATGGACGCGCGCGTGCTCCCGGCCGTCAGGTTTGAACGCCTCCCGCCTCTGGTTCATCAGGGCGTCGGACACGTCCCGGCAGTCGAGGCGGCGTCGCTAGACCCCGCTGGGGCGCGCTGTCAAGCTCGATCCGCTCCCGGAGTTTCTGTTGTCTTTTACTGTCGGGTTCAGGCGCCTTCGCGGGCCCCGGAAGGCGGGCGAACGGGCGCAGCGCGAGCAGCTGCCGCGCCTGGCAAAACTTTGCCGACCCCTGGGGCCCAGCGACCTGGCCGAGGCGTGGTTCCCGCGGAGCACGGATCACGACGTCTATGCCTGTGAAGCGAGGAACAGCGCGCGGACGGAGCACAGCGAAGTCGATGATTGACGTGTTGGAAGCTTTCCTCGCGCACGTGAAGCCCGACTCTGGCGCGCTGGCGATGGTGGCGGCGCCCGAAGCTGCTGGTCACCCTGATCGTCGAAAATTAGATAGGGAGACGTTAAGAGTCGTCCTCGAGGGTCCAGGGGTACTGCGTCATCTCCAGGAATTTACCGGTGCTGCCGAGGATTCGGGCGCCCGCTCCTGAACGCAAGGATTACCCGTGGTCGAGGTAAACACTTATGAGAATGATGATGATGATGATGCAGCCCTTCACTTGCCAGAGCACTGGGATCCAACAGTGGTAACTAAATGTCCATCTTCTCAACGAACGCTCAGCGGTAGCTGCCGCGACGCAGCCTGGTTCTGCGAGCGCACGAAAGGTAGCTGTCTGGAATTGGCATCGAGCTCCAACGCGCGCGCCCACGGGCGCCTCTCGTCGAAGACGTCGGAGGTGTCGCAGCACTGAAGCGCTCCTTGCATCCCGGTCCGCGCAACTGGCGCTCCTCTGCTGCGAGCCCGCCCAGGCGTGGACGCGTCTCCTGGAACGTGCACCCATGGTGCTTCTCTCGGATATCAAAACTCTCGATCCACTGCTCGGCAGCAGGGGAGGGGCGGAGGCTTCTTGCAAGCACCCTGCTTCTCAGAAGGCGCCAACCCTACATCTGTAGACAAGGCTCGCGCCTTATAACACGCAGGGGTGCTTCTAAGAAGCCTTCGCCCCTCTCCCTACCCCCCTTTCTGCGCATGACCGAACGTCGGCGATGCGCCTCGGAAAAGAAACAGGAACCACCAACACTCGAGCAGGAAACCGACCGCCACGATCTCTCGGCAGGCCCTCGTGGGAGCCCTCGGCTGCGCGATGCCGCCGCAAAAAATGCCCCTCGCGGCAACTGCGGGCCTCCAGCTGCCGGGGGTGGGCCACCGCAGCCCCGCGGCCTCGGCGGCGCCTCGGCGTCGCGATTCTCGGAACTCTCCGCAGACTGCCTCTCCCAGATCTCCTGCGCCTCCTGATCGAGCTCCTCTCTAGGGCTCCCAACTTCGCGCTTCGCGCTGCGCGAAGCGCGAATAACTTCGCGTTCCCACGCCGCCTCCCAGGGGAGAAGAGGAGGATGAGGAGGAATTGTAGTCTAACCGCGAACCGCGAACCGCAAATAACTTCGCGCCCTCGAGGGCGCCCATGTTCTGCGCCTCCTGATCGAGCTCCTCTGGACAAGGGGCCGCCGTCGACGCCGTCGCCGAACCAGTTTCTGGAGCCGTCGCAGGCGGAGTTGGCGGTGGTCCGGATGCCAAAGGCCAGCTCCATCCGCACCTTTCCGCCGTTGGCCACTCTCGTTTCCAACCTTTCTTCGGCTCGGACATCTGATATTTCCAGCGCACCACTCCACCCCCCTTGGAGGACATCGCGTCGCGCGCGCTCTTCAGCTCGGCCTCCAGCTCTTGGACATGGTCGTTTTCCATCTCAGCACATTCATACTCGTTATTGCGTGCGAAAGTTTCGCTACCGTAGAAGACCCCCAATCGCGTGGGTCCAATCCTGGCGCGGGCTGCCCATCGCTCATTCGAGCTTCTCATCCTGGGCGTTTGGCGGCCTGTTTCTTCTGAGTTCCAGCTGCTGCGAGGTCTTTGGCAGCAGTTCTCCCCCCCTCCTCAGCGCGCGCGAGTTGTTCGCGAGGCCGAAGAACTTTACCTCGCGCCAGATCATGCCGCGCATTAACGTCTTTCCAAGCACTCGACGACGCCCGCTTCACAGCCTCTTCAGCTAAAACCGCGGCCGGCGCGGCGCCCAAGCCCTCCGTCGGTAATCATCTGGCTCAACATCACCTGCATGTTTGTAACGTCTGGTCGCGTCGCCGTCTCTTTGTTTTTACCCATGCCGTCCTCGTGGGTCAATTGGTTCCAATGGGCGCCCTTGTTGCCTTCGTCGTTGTCTCTCGGCTCGCGGAGCTCAGATACTCGGCCACAGCGGTGCTTGCGCCGGTAGGCTTCCAAGATACGACTATACCCCGAGCGCCCGCACTTCGGCCCCCTGGTCCGCGGAGAGGGGGTCTGGTCGGCAGTGTTGCTACTGCCGTTGCGGCCGTGGCCCATCTTCCGCTCCTCCTCGCTCATCGCCGGCGCGTCGAACGCCCGCTGCACGGCCTGGCGGCGCGGGCGGCGCGCTGCCTCCAATCCCAAGCGCCCCGCAGGGGGGGTGGGGAGTCTCTGGGGCCCCGCCAAAATGGCTCGGACCCAGAGGAGCTCGATTGGGGGCGGGGCGAGGATGGAGGGGGAGGGGGCGGGACTGACGAAGAGGAGGATGGTGGCCAGGAGGAGGGGAAGGAGAAGGAGGAGCAGCGCTGAGAGGAAGAAGAGGAAGGGCTGACGAGTCATCGACACGCACCCACGGTCGGCAAACGCGACCAACAACCCGCAGAAGGCACAGGCACCAAACCGCAGGATGATCGTCGACTCCAGCATCGCGACGCCCGCCGACGACATCGACCACGCGAGCCCCCCCCATGGCAGCAGCAGAAGGCGCTGCCCAGCGCGAGGGAGAAGGGCTAGACAACGCGATTGACCAGCACGCAGAAGGAGGCCCACATCGTCGACGCAGACACCGTGCTCGAGCCAGAAACAGCATAGCAACCGTGGCATCCATTCGACATCGCATACCAGCTCGACTAGATAAACTCTCCGGTGGCTCAGGAAACCCCACTGATCACCCACAACCAGCGAAGCACACGCCCCATGAGGGGGCCAACCTAACGGCGGCCCATCAGTTCATCACCATCCCCAATCTCGACAAATTTTGCTCCGCAGACTCCACGGACAGACGGCAGACGTCGCCCGTGAGCAGCTGCTTCATCCCGCGCCCACGTCTCGGCGCTACCCTTTCACAAAACAGCCGCACTCACTGGGGCGCACCAGCAGCTGCGCAGCTGGGCCGCGCGCGCAACCACCCTCCTACTTTTACTCATATCTCCGAGACGGGGCATCTCCCACCATGCCCTCGTAGCATTACGCAGCACAGCACTGCGGCGAGCATGGCTACAGCGCGATATGCCACGCAGTGGGGCCCCCAAGGGCTTTCTCGCACGCGGGTGCAATGTCGCCCGGCGCGCCGCAAACGCGAATGCTATTCAGACCTGAACAGAGCTCCCTCACGCGCCCCTCGGCGCGGGCCTCTATCGCCATCTTCGAGCTTCCTGTCCACAGTCTTGAAGGCCTCGCCCAACATTCACTCTCTACATGCCCACCTTCTCGCAGCCCCCCCCCCCGCTTCCCCCCGCGACCCCCCCGCCCCCGCTTGCGCGGTGAACGGGAGGGCCGGGGGCGTCGCATGGCGGGGCGGGGGGGGGCAGGCGCGCGCTGCAGGCCATCCTGCCAAGGGCCAGGGAGGCCGCAGCGCACAGACCAGCCCATGTCAGACGACGCTCTCGCCGCCACCGCACTCGAAAGCCATCAGTGCGATGTCGTCACGCGGCAACCTAGCTGGGCAGTCGCCGTCACGCATCTCTCTTGCACGGCCACATTCGCCCCCTCAACCTCGTCGTCATTGCCTCGTGCCGCACTCCGAGCACCCTCGGCATGCAGCCGCGCGGCCTTGCCACCTAGCTACGCAGCCAGAGCAACATCACGTCGGAGGCGGACAGGTTCTGGGGGGCGGGGTTCTTCGGGCGAAGAAGAAAGAAGCACCGGTGACCGACCTGGCTGTGGCCCGGGAGGCCGCGACCGGCAGCGCCGCCAGCGTAATTCGCCGCCGCTGCGGTCTTGCTCTCGCTCAGCCCGTCTTACACAGCCTAGCCACAGCCCTCCGCGGCCCTCAATGGCCATCGCGCTGTTCCCATCCAGCCTCAACCACAGAGCACCTCCTTCCTCTCCCCTGTTCGCACCTCGGCCTCTCACTTTTTCCGGGCCTGGGCCTCGCCCATGCGGCGGGGGGTCGGGGGGGGGGTTCACGGGGTGGGCGGGGCAGGTGGCGGAGCCACTTGCAAACGCGGCGTCGGCCGAGGCCGCCGCGGGCAACCGCCGCGGCCAGCAT